AAATTCGTGTGAGGGTTTCGAAAAACATGATAAAAACTTTTTATTATTTGTTATGATTAAACTCTAGTAAAATATACCCCCGAGTGCCACCTCAACAAAATCAGCTCCAGTTTTCGCTGATCCAGTTCTCCAGTCATTCTAACACCACTATGAAGAGGCCAAGTTTCCATGCAAGTCCACGCCAATTAAAGTTACAACAGTTTTGTGATTTAATCGCTTCTGATAAACACTTTCGAGTGTAATGGTGGAAATAAGACTGAGTTTTCCAAGAGTAGAGAAACAAAAAAAACTTTTTAATAAAAATAAAGACTCTTGTACTTATGGATAAAAAGGTTTCACTCCATAATGACATTGATAATGAACAAGATTAGTTGATAATCTTGACAATTTTCATCATCACCATCTCAATAGCCTCAATCAATGGCATTGGATATTGAATGTTCAAAAGCAACAACAACAGCAATCTTTATTGCATGAGATGAATTTCATCTTAATTTGCCTTTTTTCAACAAAATTGCGCCTTTTGCCCTTTAACATGAACCAAGTGAACGGATTGAAAAGAGGCTGACTATTAAATCCCAAAAGCATCTTGATCATTATCATTAGATGTATGATGTTGATTATCTCGGTATATTTCACATTTATTATGAATATAAATGTGAAATCATTTGACTGGCTAAGAGTAACTCATAACTCTTCCATTACTAGTTTCTTAGCATTTTGCTTCATCAACAAAACCATTTTTATTATAGCACATAATATCAAGTTGATAAAAACCAACATTAACTCAATATTTAATTCAAATGGACAGAAAGTGCAATGAAAAATAGTTTCTCCATAAAAGTCTTCTAATCATGATTTACAATCAACTATAAAACCAATGAATCATTGCATTTATATCGCAATTTCAATCGAAAATTTTCTTTTCATTAAATCATTCAAAGCTGCAAGTTGAATAAAAATTTGCAGAAAAAAAGTTTCCATTCATTTCAAGTTAACGAAACAAACTTTTATTAACTTTGATTGCATTGGAAAACACTTGATAACTTGAAACTGAACAATTAGAGTTTATCAACAGAATGTTTCTCATGGAAATTGACATTTTTCATTTCATCTAATTGTTCAACTTGGATGGAGAAGATGAAATTTCAAAGTTTTCGTTATTATTGAAACAATCACAATATCATGTTTACCTTTGAAGCTTTCAACCTTTATTTACCTCTAATGACATTTTGCCCAAGTTTTACCTTTTATTTGAAATGCTATTCACTCTTGGATGATTTATTGAATATTCAGTTACTTGGAATCATTTCTTTGGAAGTAAAAAATTCGATGAAATTGGTTTCGTTTTCAAAATATTAATAAAACTGTTATCATTTCAACGATGAAAGGAAACCTAGAAAATGAGTTTAATTTGAAAAATTGAACCAAAAAAGAATCTTTGATTTCCAAAAAAATTCTGAAAAAAGCTTCAAATGCTTCATGGTTTATCATTAGTTACTAGAGTCAACAAGAAAGTGTTACACTTGCTGATAGAAAATTCAATTGAACTCTTTTCTGATGAATGTCCGTTAACTAGTCTTTATCAGAATAACCAAATTGATCAACATTTTACAAACATCTTTGACATCTTTTAATGCTCTTCACTCTTGACATTCACTTAAAACATCTTTATCTATTCAATATGAATTCATTCATGGATAACATTCAAAATATTTCACTTCAAGTCCCTGGATTCAAGATTCCCTAAAGCTTATTGAAAATTTTCCAAAAAATGAAATAATGTTATAAAAGTATTGAAAAAAGATTTTCCATTTAACTCAAAATTTCCTAAGCAATCAGTCAAATTACTTCAATAAAAGTTACCAGAACGAATCTATTTTCATGATGAATCGCAAGCTAACAAGAGGAATAACTTTGGAGTAAATTTAATCGTAATTAGGCTTCAATTCATCATGTTTACTGATTTCAACCTTCGAATTTTCAACAATTTTCTGTGCTTTTGCTGAATGTCTTGTAAACCATTGAAGTCGAGTTGAATTTAAAATTGGAAACAGAAGCTTTTTGAATGTCAAAAGCTTTCACTTGTCTAAATGTTTACGCACAAATATGACAAAATTATTTTACCTTTTGATACATTTTCATATATTGTTCTCATTTTCACTCAATCAAGGCTTATCTTGATATTGAAATTTGAGCAAACTTTTATTCGTTTTTCCATATCGCCACATTCAGTGTTTCGACAATTTTCATACTCTGTCAACTTGCTCATTCAATTTCATGTTATCCGATCAAATGAATTTCCCTTGAAATTCGGACATTTTTCAGTGAAAACTAAACTGTAAGAATAAAAATTGAAATGTAAACATTATTTAGCAAAAGGAGAATCAATGAAATGAAAATGAACATTTCACATTCAATGGGCACAAATAAAGAGTTTCATTTGTTTTTAGTTTCAATTTTCACTGAGCAAAATACATGAAATGGTGGAAGAAAAAATAATTTTGATTTTTGCTCATTGACAAGTGATGAAGCCACAATGTTGACTTGAATTAATGAAAATACAATGGATATTGTAACAATGAGAATGTTTATTGTTATTGCACTTTTATCATTGGATGGCCAGTTGGAATGGAGATAAATATCAATAATCAATAGATGAGAAGGCAGAATATGAATTATTTTTTAATCAAAATGGACACTAGAGAGGGACATAGACAAAGCCAAATGATGAAGGTGAATGGTGGATGATAAAGAGACTGAATATACGAGTAAACCATAAAGAAGTCATAATTCGTTCGGTTCGGTGAATTTGCTCATTTCAAGAATGATGAACACAAGAAGAAGAAGAAAATGAGGCAAAAAGAGAGAGACAAGTAAACATGAAAAGAGAACAAAAGAGGAACCATCTTTATCATCATCTACTTCCAATGTGGTCATCATTCACATTCATTTCTTTCTCTTCCAATGGACTTGAACTAGACAATAAACCCAAAGATGGACAGAGGAAAAAATGAAGCAAAAAAGTCAGGAAACACTGTAAAGTAACTTTACAATGAACGTCTTTCAAGTTGCAAAAAATGAGCGACCGAAGGAAAAGACTTTTGTTTTCATTTCATTGTTTTTCCTGCTTCAAATTTAGAAATGAAAATCATTTTGAACAATGAAACGAGCAAAGACAGTCGCTTCAACAAAGAGTTTTATGAAACACATTTTCTGTCAGTTTCAATTCATTGTCTTTGTCAATCAAGATTTGTTAGCTTTACAATGATCTAAAGGTTTCATGACTTAAGAACTGACAAAAACTGAAATTCGTTTGCAGGATTTTCTTCATTACAAGAACGGAACCTTTCATATTTTAAAATTGTTCAATTTAAGTTTGAAAAAGTCGAACGAAGTTGATTCCAGCAAACGAAGACAAATGTTGCAAATTCGTTGCTCTTCTGGTCAAACATAAAATATGATATTATCATATAATCCATAGTTTTATATTACTTTATAAATCGACTGAAAAGTTTGATTTGGCAAAAGACTTTTGTTGAAGTTAAATTGAAAATTCTCAAAATTTGTTGAACCCAGCAAAGCGTCTTAAGTTGTGCGATTCGTAGACAAATCAAAGATCGAGATGTTTGTTTGATGGCTCGAGTGACTGTTTGATGAAATGGAATTGAATGTGAACTGAGAAATTGTGCCCTTAAACCCTAATAACAGAGAATATCATAATCCAAATTCAATTCACCCATGAGCCTTACCTTTTCATGGCTCCTAAATAATAAATAAACACGAGAACAAAAGTAAAGCAGAGAAAATTTTCTCTTTACATGGTTATTCAGCGATTCAATGGAATAACCTTGTTCCATCTTTTATCCTCTTTCCTTGCTATTTCTTGTTTGACTATAAATAATTTACATAATAATCATGTAATATTGAAATTAATTCATGTAACTTGGTGAGACTCATTCATTTCTCTTTTCACTCTTTCTTTTTATGTAATAATATCGACATGAAATATCTTCAATGAGTGTCCCATGAATATTATACCATTATTTATATGGAATCATTTATTACGCTAAAAGAAGAAGAAAAAGTCATGAAAATAATGATAATTAAGTGAAGTGTAATTTGTTTCCTTTACACTGAATAAATATCAATATTGAATATTGAGATGAAGAGGAAAGCAATAAAACGACATTTTCATTGCTTTTCATTTTTCTAATGATCAAGTTGAAACAGAATGTTAACTCGATTTGAAATCATGTTGAATAAAAATCAGAGAATTATTCATTGATTAATAACAATACAAACTGCAGTCAAACAACAATGATTCCATTGAAATTGTTTCAATTTTAGAGCAACAATTTATTTCCTTTTGTTTGCTTTTATTAAGTTTATGGTAACGTTAACACACATGTATTAATTTAACAATCGTACAATAATAAGGCCAACTGTAAAGTTACTAAACACTCAGTTTCAGTGATCTTTAAACAATGAAATAAATGCAATATACTTCATTAATCAATCAATGAGCGAAATAATCAAATACTGACACAATTAGAAGTACAAATTATGCAATTCGTTTATTAATTATTATAGTTATGAAAGACATACGACGGACTGGGAATCAATTTAGTAATAGGGTTTCCAGCAAGCTTTAGGAGCCAGCTTTCCAATAATGTCATTGTATTTGAGGGCTTCAGTGTAAAGGGTGAGCGATTCTGGACCTTCTTGACATTTAGCTTGGAATCCAACCAAGTAATGTTTCTTGTTGTAAGGACGAGCTGCGAATACTGCTTCATCGCAGTCGACGAGTTGAGTACCATCAGCAGCAAGTAATGAAGCACAAGCTTGAGTGTTTGATAATTGGATTCTACACTCTCCTTCAGCTGCAAAGAGA